CCATAGGCTCTTATCTGGCTGGTGTAAGAATCTCTGGTCCTGAAGGATGCATTACATTCTCTTCTTATTTGCTGGTGATGAAGTATCTCCAATTCTGCTGCTGGATCCACTTAATTGACAAGACTAACCAATCTCCCCTTGTAGATTGGTGAGATTAGCCAATCCTTGTGTGGATAGGCTAACACATCCTATTTGCATATTCCTTCTCATTCACATGTTGTTGTTATGTGCCGTTGAGTCGCCTGCAACTCATAGCGATCCTACGTACAACCTCCCTAAACTCTGCTCTATCCTGTGCCAATCTCACTGTCTCCAACATACCTACCCCCATTACTCCAGTCACTTCACTGAGTCAATCCATCTCATTGAGGTTCTTCCTCTCCTGAACTATCCCTCCACCCTCCCAAGCATAACGTTCTTCTCCAAGAACCCTCCTTGCAACATGTTCAAATTATGTCAGACGAAGATTCAGAATCGTCCCCAAGTAGCAGCCTGGTTTCACCCTCTCCAGGACAAACCTGTTTGTTCTCTTAGCAGTCCATGGTATATTCCATACTTTTCTCCAGAACTACTGCTTAAAGGCATCAATTCTCCTTCTGTCCTCCCTAGTCATTGTCTAGCTCTCTGATGCATAACAAGTGACTGCAAAAACCATGGCCTGTATCAGTCGCACCTTAGTCTCCAGACTGACATCCCATCCACAAAGCAAGGTCAAATTCAATGGCTAGGAGAGCTATTTTGAACACTAAGCTCTTAATACCACAAAACTGTTATCGTTGCTCCTTAGTAATTTGGGAAGGTGCCTAACTGCAGACTTTCCCAGTGCAATACATCTTCTGATCTCCTGACTGCAGGTACCAAGGTTGACTGGATTCAAGTAAGATGAAATAATTAAAAATGTCACTCCTTTTTTCATCTATCATCGTATTATCTACAAATCCAGGGGTGAGAATCTTTGTTTTCTTGACATTGAGATGAAGCAAGAACTTCAAGTCTTCCTCACTTTCAGATAGCAAGTTTGTGCCATAATACAGGTTGTTGATGAATCTTCCTCTGATCCTGATGCCACATTCTTCTTCATAGAATTCAGCCTTTGAAATTACTTGTTCAGTATACATACAGAATATTATGGAGAGAGGATATAATCCTGACGTACACCTTTCTTAATTTTAAACCCGGTAGATCTCTTCTTGCTTTTTCATACACAGTCTGCTGGTCTAAGTACATATTTCACGTAAGTACAATTAAGTCTGGGATTCTCATTATACTCAATGTTAGTCATCATTTGTTAAGATTCTCACAGTCAAATACCATTGGATAGTCAATAAAACACAGATACACATTCTATTCTCTGCTTTCAGCCAGCATCCATCTGGCATCAGCAAATATATTCCTGCTGCCACAGACTCTTTTAAACGTAGTTTGACCTTCTGGAATTTCTCTATGTACCATTTAGCCATTTTTTGCATGAATTTCTGCAATATTTTGCTTGACTGTGATATTGTTCAATAATTTCAGCATTCTGTTGGACTGTCTTCTTGGAAATGGGAACAAATACGTATCTTTCCCAGTCAGTCAGCCAGGCACCTGTCCTCCCAATTTCCTGGCATAGATTAGTGAGCATAGAGTTTTTTTAAAAAGGATGAAGTGAAGGAATATAGTAGGTATCCTTTAATTAAATTACTGTTTCCAGAGAACAGCTTTTGAAATTTATGTAAACAATTTACATGTGTTAGACATCACTCACCCTCATTCACATTGCTGTAAAGTCTGAACTGACTCACACCTGACTTTCCTGTCAATTTTCAGAAAATCACAGGGGAGGAAATTGCTTGTAGGGTAAGAGAATATCTATAGGCTTTACACTCATATGGAAAGTATAATTAATAGCAGTTCCTTGGAAAGGGGCATGATGCTGGGAAGGGTCATGGGTTGGGGAAGGAGAGGAAGACCCTCGGTCAGGTGGACTGACACAGTGACTGCTGCAATGGGCTCTTCTTGTATGTCAGGAAGTGTGAGGAGGGAACAGGATAGAATAGAGCTTAGAGCTTTTGTTTGTAGGATCATTATGCATCATACTTGACTTGACAGCATCTAAAACCAGCAATATTTTTAAAACTTCACTATGATTCTAATTCTTATATCCTACAAAATACTTAAAATTTTATTGAGATTCTTCTGTTTGAGAAAATCAATTAAAAACATTACTTAAGAAAGATATACAGAATAAAGAAAATGAGTTGAAATAGATATAATTACATATTTTATCTGAGCTACAAACAGCAGGGGAACACTGCATGGTTTAAATTAAGAAAGGAGTGCATCAGGGTTGTATTCTTTCTCCGTACCTATTTAATCTGTATGCTGAACAAATTATTCGAGAAGCTAGACTCTATGAAGAATAGTCTGGCATAAGGATTGGAGGGAGACTCATCAATAACCTGTGCTATGCAGATGACCAAACCCTGCTTGCTGAAAGTGAAATGGACTTGAGTACTTGTTGCAGAAGATCAAGGAATGCAGCCTTCAGTATGGATTGCATTTCAATGTCAAGAAAACAAAGATTCTTACTACTGGACCAACAGGCAACATCATAATAGATAGAGAGGAGACTGAAGCTGTCAATAGCTTTTTATTACTTGGATCCACAATTAACACAATTAGGGGCCTCTCCAAATTACTGAGGAGTAATGATGTGAGTTTGAAGACTAAGGTGCATCTCATTTATGCTGTAGTCTTTCTGATCACTTGCTATGCATCCTGAAAGCTGGACAATGAATGACAGAACAAAAATTATGCCTTTGAGATATAGTGCTAGAGAAGAGCACCGAACATTCCATGGATGGCCAAGAGAACGAAAAAATATGTCTTGGAGAGGGTGCAGCCAGAGTGCTGTCTGGAGGCAAGAATGATGAGGTTTTGCCTCATATACTTTGGGCATGTTGCAAGGAGGGGCTATTCATTGGAGAAGGACATAATGCCAGGAATGGTGGAGGGTTGGCAAAGGAAAGGAAGGCTCTGGACTAGGTGGACTGATACAGTGACAGTTGCAATGGGATCTTGAGTGTCAGGAAGTGTTAGGATGGCACAGGATAGAACAGGTCTCAGATATTTTGTTCATAAGGTCACTATGAGTAGTACTCAACTTGTCGACACATAATAACAACAACAATTTCAGTAATGATGAAAATGAGAAGGGTATAAAGTTTCAAAATATAGTGTAAATAATACTCAGTTTTGTTATCTTTTGTTTTTACTCTCATTTCTTTTTAAAATTTTATTATGATATTAACTAAAGTTGAAGGAAAAGTTGGATTTTTATTCATTCATTATTTCATATTTTCCTTCCTATGCCCCTCCAGTTCACTTTAAAAATAAAAAAAAATCATTCACTGTTGAATACTTTCCTGCTTGTCCCACCTCCCCCTGTCCACTTTGCTATGCACCTTTTATTCTAGACTGTTGTCATACAAATAATGCCTACTCATATATTTCTTTTAAACAGTTCTTTCTTTCATCTATTCCAATGCAGTGTTCATTATTTATCCCCCTTTTTCTTAGTTTCTCCACAAACCCCATGCAGTCTTGTTATATAACAGTGGAGTTATGCAGTATTTGCCCATCAACAAATGAATGGATAGAAAAGGTACAATATATTCATATTCACAGAATGGAATACTATGCAGCACTAAAAAAAATGAACTCGTAAAGTATTACACACCATGAGTGACCCTGGAGAACATTACTCTGAGTGTGAAACATCTCAGTCACTTAAGTAATCTGTTAGTGTATGCAATGAACTCACTACGACATTTAGTGACTTAAAGAAAACTACTTTGTTTGGGAGTCCTTATGGCATAATAATTACGTTCTCAGTTGCTAACAAAAAGTTTAATGGTTTGAACCCATCCAGTGACTCCACAGATGAAAGACTTGATAGTTTCTTCCTGTAAATATTACAGCATATAAAACCCTCTGAGGCACTTCTCTGCCACATGATATTTCCATGGGTAGAAATTAACTTGATAACACCTAACAACAATAATAACAGACTTTATTTCATATCCTTGATAGTTGCTTTAATTGGTATTTATTTCAGTATCTTGTTGTTATAATATGCCATTGGATTGACTATGAATTATAGTGACCCTGTGCACAATAGCTCTGAATCCAGCTACCCTTACTATCCCAGTTATTGTGTCAATACATCTTATCTGAGGTCTTCCTCTCCTGCGTTGTCACTCAACCCTTGCAAGTATGATATCTTTCTCCAAAGACTGGTCCCTGGTGACTGCAAGATGACAGAGATAGTGATGATGGTACAGAATAGGATAGGATTCTGATTATTGTTTACGGATTTGCTATGAGTATAATTTACTTATAGGCATTCAGCAACAGCTAATGATCTTGAGCAATTATTTCTTACATATAATATTTGACAAAAAAGATAAGTTTATTATAAATTTTCATAATATCATGTAATTATTGGGGCTAGACTATGTTCAATCCCAATTTTGCCTCTTAGCTGTGAGAATTTGAACAAGTTACTTGACTTCTCTGTCAGTTTCTTGATCAACAAAATGAGGGAAGCAATATCTGCCTGATAGGTTGTGCTGATGATGATATGAGTGCGTACATGAGAGTACTGGAACAATCTTTACTATGTGATATTGGCTAAAGAAATGTTAGATATTATTAAAGTAAATCAGAACTGTAATTCTAGAGACTACAAAGAGGAATTAAAATGTGAAATTATTTATCTGAACCTGGATTTCCCCCCTTAAGACAAAACAAAGACAGTTCATATGCTTCCTATTTAAAAAGGACTACTTTGGTGTTTGTGTGCATGTCATGTGGATATAAGGTCATTAGCGGAATATGTTATTACATTAACAATTTTAACAGTTTTCAACTGAAATAAAAACAGAATGGATGATCGCTCTAAAAACGTGTGCAAAGTTAAATGAGTAATTCACGTCTCTTTCTGTGTTTCCTTGCAGATATCATGGAGATCAGGACAGTAGCAGTTGGAATTGTGGCAATCAAAGGGGTGGAGAGTGAATATTATCTTGCAATGAATAAGGAAGGAAAACTCTATGCAAAGGTATTGCTAATTAATAGCCTAAAATTCATTTTCAAACCTATTGTGGTCAAAATTATCTTGCCTTTAAGGAAAATAAAAATAGAATTAGTTCTTCTCAAACAATGTAATTTAATAAAGTCATTAAAACAGTGTACATCAAGCACCAAGAAAAGATACTTTCTGTGTGACTTCAGACAATATTGTTTAACCTCTCTGGAATCATGTCTCTTATCTATAAAATTATAACTTTAAAGATGTTTCCAGCTCAAAAATTCTATGTGCATGTTAGTATTTAAAACCCAAGTTTGCATCCAGTGGCCTAGTGATAAGGTGTTGTGCTGTCAATCCAAAAAAAGTATGTGGTTCGAATCCAGCTGTTCCATGGTAAAAAGACGGTCTTATCCCCTAGTGTGATTTATAGCCTCTGCAAACACATTGGAGGGCCAGTTTTTAATTAATCTGATTTGCCTGCACATAATAACAATAGTATTAAATATCTTTTTATTAAAATTCCCTCAATTTACACATTACTGATATTAAATTATCTGGAAAAAATGCTAAAGTGCTCAGGGTTTTTTAAAAAATCAGTATCAATCGCAAATCTAGGTTTGCACAATTTGATGGGTGCAGGGTGGGTTGAGTTAAAGAAATGGGAAAGATCCAATGTGAAAAACAATGTGTACAGAATTTGTAAGTAAACCAGTATAAAATAAAAAGTTTTAAAAAAACCCCACCCCAATCTATAAGATTTGATGTGTAAATATTGATAGTGTTCCTACTTCCTGACAACGCAAAATGTTTAAAAATTCATCTGGCATAATGACAGGTCACTGACTTTCCCTGTACTTCTTTAGTGCAGCGCAGTGTCTGACACGGGCTCATTGTGTAACATGCTTCATTAAGAAAATGATCAACTAAATGATTGGTTGAATAAACTAACATTTTCTTCTCCATCATTACCAAAAACACCATAGTGACAAAGCTGTGAAATGTGTCCAACACTTACAGAGAGCAGATGATCTGCAAACTATTCCAGTTGGCAGGGAAGGAATGAATGGCTTAGGTGTAGACAGGGTTGGAAAGAGCTGGAACCCACTTGAAGGCAGTGGATACATCTATCTGCAGTAGGTTCATCAACCTATTTTTTTTTAAATAAATCATGCATGTTTTAATTCTGCCAAATATTAACTGTTTACTCTTTTTTCAATTGTGTCTCTCTGAAATTAGTTTCTTTCTTCATTATTTTATACAGAAAGAATGCAATGAAGATTGCAATTTCAAAGAATTAATTCTGGAAAACCATTACAATACATATGCATCAGCTAAATGGACACACAGTGGAGGAGAAATGTTTGTTGCATTGAACCAGAAGGGGTTTCCTGTAAGAGGGAAAAAAACAAAGAAAGAACAAAGAACAGCCCACTTTCTTCCTATGGCGATAACCTAACCCTGGGTAGCATATAAGAAACCAGTTCCAGCAGGGAGATTTCTTTTAAGTGGACTGTTTTCTCTCTCCTTTTCTTTTCTTTTTCCTTTTTTTTTTTTTTTTTAAGTAACCAAGAAAGGCTGGAAAACTACTGAAAAACTGATCAAGCTGGACTTGCGCATTTATGTTTATTTTAAGAGACTGCATTAAAGAAAGATTTGAAAAATATACACAAAAATCAGATTTAGTAACTAAAAGTTGTAAAAAATTGTAAAACTGGTTGTACAATTATGGTGTTAGTAATAGTAATTTTTTTCTTAAATTAATTTACCCTTAAGAGTCTGTTAGATTTGATTATCTGATAATGATTATTTAAATACCCCTATCTGCTTATAAAATGGCTGCTATAATAAAAATAATAATGCAGATTATCTTATATAAAATATGTCAGACCTAGAGGCTGCTGGAATGATTTGTCGGATAATCACATTAACACTAACTATGGAAGAAGAACAGTATTTGAGGTGTTTTCTTGTAAGAAACAATCTATTGAAACTAAAAAGGAAGGAATAAAATTATCAAATAATTCTAGTATGGAACTGAATCAGACAGGTAGTTTTTGAAAAGTAGAGGATTAAGACATGCTTTTATCTATCAATAGAAAAAGATTCCTAATGTTGCTCAGACTGAAAAAATATTGTTAAAATGATGTTTTTAAAAAATCTTGTATATAAAATAGCAATGATGGTAATACTGTACTTCATCTCACTTGCCATAAAATAGCATTTTATAAACCCTGAAAGTAAAAACCAGAAATCTTTTTTTCAAGTAACATATCTTTAGTATAATTCATATTTGGGATTATGGCTTTTAATAACATTATCCCCACAAATATTCATGCTTTTCCCCTGTGGTTACAGCATTAAACTCTATTTTAAGTTGTATTTGAACTTTATTGTTTTTTGTTATTTAAGTTTATGTTATTTATAAAAAGATAATCCTACTATGCTGTATCTGTTTCATATGCTTTCAATTCTAAAGGAATAACAGAACCGTCTGACTCAACTGTATAGTCTCCCTCCCTCTCATGACTGACACCAAGTCTAACACATAGCACTTGGTCCAACAAATCCTGGATAGCAGACAAAAATGACAGCCGACAGCAACGCTTACAATAGATGTCTTTCAAGGAACAATGCAAAAATGTGAAAAATGTTTTGTCACATACTCTTGCCAATTAACTTGGATCATATAAGTGAAATCACTGCAGAAAAAAAGGACTTAGGAGATCTTAGAAGTTATAATATATTTAAGTTCATGAGTAGAAAATATATTTCAAAAATATGCCTATTTAAAATTAGTAACTCTTTTAAAGCTCTAAGAATTCCTGCAATCCAAAAGATGGCAGCATTGAAAGATTGAAAGTTGTTTTCCTGTTAGACAGCAAACACATGGTGCCCCAAATCTCACTCACTCACTGTCATCAAGTCAGAACAGACTCATAGCTGACCCTCCAGTGGGTTTTCTGAGGTTGTAAATCACACGAAAGGACACTGCTCATCTAAGTCCCTGGTGGATTTGAACAGGAAGAGAGGCCGATTTTTTATTAGTAGAGCAACTGTCTGTGGCCTACTTCATCAGAGATTCCTAGGGCTCAAATTGGAGGATGTATTTAGGGATCTTGGAAGTTGGATATTATGAAGACTTGAGGTCAAGCTCCAGATAGTAAGGTTAACGGAAAGATTAATTTCCCCTTTATAATTTTTCTGTTGTCGGGTATTGGTAACGCTTTCTGTGTTTACCAATAGGATATTTATCTAAATCAAATTAATTATTTGCTAATCTTTATGTTCTTAATTTGACATTTGTCACTCAAGTTCCTCTATAGGAAGCTCTGGTAGCATAGTGATTGTGTTGTTTTGCCAACCAAAAAGTACACAGTCCAAATCCACCAGTTGTTCTTGAGAGAAACAAGCACAATCTCCTCCAATGTAATTTATAGCCCCTGAAATGCCCCCCTTGGTGGTCATCTATGAGTTGGTTCTGACTTTAGAGTATGTAACAAAAACATTTTACATAAATATTAACTGGCACGGCTACATCAACAGAAACAAAAGCTTAAATTCATTTCATTGTGGCTCACTTCATAACAAAGTTGCAAGAAGCTACAAAGGATTGTTGAGTAGCTTCATGCAGATATACTAGAGGTAGATACAATGAATTATATTTGGGATTATTATCTGAATGAAGAGCACCTTGCTAGCCTAGGTTCCAAAGATAGGGCTAAGAAACTAGAACATTCTAAGTATAACAAGGGTGGAGGAAGACATTTTTAGTTTGTTTCCATAGTGTCTAACACAATGCCTACCCGTACTCATTATTTATATGAAATCATTCAATATTTGAATATAAATAAAATTCATAATGAGACTAAATTACCACATTTTTTTTAAAAAAGTGAAGGTAAAATATGATTTTTGTGTTGTTCCTGTTAGGTGCTGCAAGTCAACTCCGACTTCTAGCAGCCCTAGGTGCAGCAGGTGGAAACCCTGCCTGACTCCACAGCATAAGTACAGTGTCCACTGTGCTTAAACCCACCACTGTAGTCATTGCGTCAGTCCACAACTTTAAACAAATGAGTGAACAGACATATAAGATTATAAGTGCCACTTAGGACCAAAGATTTTTGTCTGTAAATTTAGTTACTATCAAATTACACCACATAGCTGAATGAGACAAAATAAATAATTAGTAGTAAATCCATTCCTAATTGTGTAAGTCATCAAAACAATCTTTATAGAAGCATCTGTTTTAATGGGTTTTCTCCACCTAATATTTACCTTGATCACGCAAATTTTAGAAAAGAAAATCTGCACTATTTATGTAAATTTAAAATTATTTGTACCTCTCAAACATTTACAGATGAGGAGACTGAGATTATGAAGTGACAAGGCTTAGGTTAGGTACAGAGCTCTCATGAAAGTATAGATTATCTAGCATATATGTGCTTATTAGATTTTTAGAATTGTTACCTTGTGGCTCCCTTTTTTTCTATTAAAATATGATCATTATATTTGCATACAAAGTTGATCCATGTTCTGGCAACTCATTTTATATGCAATGATTAATCTCTATTGTGATGATCTGATTCAAAAGGAGCAACAAAGTAATAAGAATTTCCAATCTTGATTGCTATTCAACACCAACTTCTTTATTTGGGAAGGGAGAACCTGTGAAAAATATCCAGACAAGCAGAACAATCTTCTCTCAAATGTACTTTGAAAGAGAAAATAGGTCAAATTCATATAGTCATGATAATTAGGAAGAGAAAATAAAATAAAATAGTTTAAATGTTAACAAAAGAAGTAATAAAAAGGTAGTATGATACAATTCATGAACACAAATATTTTGGCATTGACTATCTATGACATAAATTATCACCTTAAAACTAGAAATATTTAATCTATTTTATAATTAAAACAATTTTAAGTTAGCTACAAATTTGACTTAATGACAGAAGGAAATATTGGAGGATGACCTCATAAGAGTTTCCATTTCTTTGAGTTTGCTTTTCTGGTTTTCCAGTGTCAAAAACATTGAAAAATTGACTATGGAATCCAACTACATTCAGGATAAAGGAAATTCTACAACAAAAAAATACTCTATAAAGCCATGACTCTCAGAATTTTCTACTAGAATACCCGTAACAGTAGAGGAGAGAATGAGAGGTAAAGGTTGTCTACAAAGACACAGAAATTCTTTACACTATATAATGACCAGTATGGGAGTTCTTGACCAACCAGAATATATAATTCATCTATCTGAATGTATGCAGGCCACTGTGACTTACTTGTGGATACTAGATGTTTATCAGCTCCATTTCTGTGATCAATCTACAACATGGCTTATGGGAAATATCTAGTAATTGATCTCTCTGTTTTGACTTTTTAATGTGTATCTTAATATGAAATAATTATTAAAACTTTGTCTATCTGTCTTCAGACTTGTTGTCAGTTTATTCTACTTGTTCAATGGAGATGCTTTCAACACTGAAAGTGACTTATTCCTTTATGCTTACATATACTACAACTCATTTTCCAACTTCATATGGGAACTTACTTTCTCCTCAGTTGAAAATAGTTGACAAAAAGAAAAAAAGATATTAGGGCAGTTCTACTCTGACCCTCAACAAGAGAAAATGACACGGTAACTACAGCAGTGGATTCGAGCATGCCGGAGAGCATGAGTCCAGTTAGGGTAGAGTAAGGTTCCAATCTGTTGTGCACAGCATTGCTACGAGGTGACTCAACAGCATGCAACAACAGCAGCTCTGTCCCACAGGGTAGCTATGAGTTGGAATCAACTTGATAAAATTGTTACAGTTTGGGGGGATTTGGGTGGTTTTATCATACAAATTAATTTTCTTTCATTTTATCAGTTGTTATGTATCCTTGAGTTGACTCTAACTCACAGCAAACTTATGTACAATACAGAGAAACTTTTCTGTAACTGGTATGTAAAAAAGAATAAGAACAACTCAAAGATGACAGAATCTTCTCTTAATGAAGCCTGCCATAGATTATTTTTTGCTGCATAAGCCTAAAATTTAATGGCTTAAACAATAAATGTTTATTGCCTCATAGTTTATAGCAGGAATCCACAGTTTTTCTGGGGACACCAGTTTTGTTGTTCTTGTTGTTATGTGCCGTCGAGTCGTTTGCAACTCATAGCGATCCTATGCACAACAGCCCTAAACCCTGCCTTATCCTGCGCCAACCGCACTGCCTCTGACACACCCATCCTTATTACCCCAGTCACTGAATCAATCCATCTCATAGAGGGTCTTCCCCTCCTGTGCTGTCCCTCCACCCTCCCAAGCATGATGTCCCTC